CCAAAAGCTTGCAATTAAAGATTTTTTTTTTTTTGCCAAAATCTAGTCAGTCTAATAAAAGGTATCACCTCTACCACGAGTCCTGAATGCTTTTGCTATCTAAACATTAGCCATCTTTTTCCACATTCATAAACTGTGCTTCGCGACCTAGTCAAATCATTATATCATGCTAAACAATTAAACAATTTATTGATCAGATAAATAATTTATAGTGTGAAATCGTAAGAGGAAAGAAACTGGTGGAAGTAGTGAGCTCTGCATAGCAAGATTTAAAAACCTGAAAAACATATTTTGCTGATCGTTCAAATCAGCCGCACATGATATGACTAGCAGGGAAAGTATTTATACCTCAATGAAGCAAATATGTGAAAATAAAGCAGCCCGTTTAACAAAATGGGTCTATTTTCAGCCTGTGATAAGTTAGCATTTGTGTATGGGTGTCTATTGAAGGAAATTACAGAAATATTACACCTACCAATCTTTACTGCCCCAGTTATATTATGCTGTCTAATTCATGCTTTTTCATTAAAGCTGTGCAGGCAGCTAAATAATATTTCTTGTATCGTGGGGTTTATTTGTTTGAAACTATTTGCAAACTGCACTGAGCATTGCATACGGCTCCCTGCTGTCTCCGGCATTCGGGAGGTTTGAATAATGCCCTGTCTCTAGAGATTTTTGTCGTGTGATCCTTTGATAAGTCCACTGACAACATCAGTGGCAAAACTCCCGTTCATTTTAGCAGAGCCAGGATTTTTCACCCTTTGTATTCAGATTTATTTAATTATTTTGCAAAATGTTTTCTAAGATAAAAGTTTAGAGTTTTTTTTAAATGTCTGCGTGTGAACATTTGCTAAATGCAGAGTAGAGCATTATCTCTGCGGAAACCAGAGACCTCGGTCGTAGCACCCAGAGAGCGCGTCGGAAGAATAAGGAGCAGAAGCTGCCGTGTAAAGCAGCGACTTACTTGTCTGTCCTGTCCTAGTGCTCAGTGTCCTGCGGGAGAGGCGTTCGGCGGAGGAATGTGTATTGCTACACCGGCACTCAGAAACCAGCCGGGGAAGCTGACTGCCCTCAGTCCACGAGACCCGAGGCTGAACAGGGATGCCACCTTGCCGACTGTCCCGTTTACAGCTGGGAAGCAGAGGAATGGCAAGCGGTGAGTAGCAAGGGGCTGGAAGGGGCAGCGTCAGCTGTATTCAAAGCCCATGCAAGGCAGACCTTCTCCCTTACGTGTGCCAGTATCGCATTACTCATTGTGTGAAACGTGAACCGCCGAGAGACGTAAAAGATGGTTAGCCGGCTGGGAAGATTATTGTCAGATGGCCAAAGTTTATGTGGAGCTGGGTTGCGTTTAGGTTGATGTCCAGTGGGCAGGAGAGACAATGAGATGGTGATGCATGTAGATTGTTTCAGTATTTTCCCAAAGGGGCTGGAGGATGTCCCTGCATAGCCTGGCTGGATACGTGCAAGCTGCCAAGGGGGCTTGGTGCCGTCTCCCCAAACTGAGCGCTCTGTGTGTCCCTGCCAATGCTGGGCCTGACTCTGAGCTGTTCTCACCTTTGGGCTGCATTGTGCTACCCTGACACATGCTGAGGAGTAACTTTGTGTGGCTCCAAGAGTGGCAGGAAGCTGGGCATTGGAAAAAAAACTGGCTCAGAAGAAATTTGGAAGAGATTGAGATGCCATAGCAAACAAAGCTGGGCATTGAAAAAAACGACTTTCCTGTGCTGCCTGCATCTTTTTGGGCACTTCTGTCCAGATTCTTCTTGATAGGCATCCCTGTCTCGGCAGGTCCCTCCTTCCTCCACCCAAAAAGCCCGTGGTTTCAAACTCCCTTGCTTTGCTATACAAAAAACTAGAACTCTTGGTTCCAAAATGATACCTTTTATTATACCTAGTGGGACATTGCAAGAAAAGTGTCCTTTCCTGCAAGCTTTCAGGATCAAAGTCCTTTCATCAGGCTCTTTTCTGCAAGCTTTTGGGATCAAAGTCCCTTTATCAGGCTCTACTCTGCAAGCTTCGGGATCAAAGTCCCTTCATCAGGTTCTTTTTTGCAAGCTTTCGGGTTCAAAGTCCCTTTATCAGGCTCTTTTCTACAAGCTTTCAGGATCAAAGTCCCTTTATCAGGCTCTACTCTGCAAGCTTTCGGGATCCAAGTCCCTTCAGCAGGTTCTTTTTTGCAAGCTTTCAGGATCCAAGTCCCTTCATCAGGCTCTTTTCTGCAAGCTTTCAGGATCAAAGTCCCTTTATCAGGCTCTACTCTGCAAGCTTTCAGGATCAAAGTCCCTTTATCAGGCTCTACTCTGCAAGCTTTCGGGATCAAAGTCCCTTTATCAGGCTCTACTCTGCAAGCTTTCAGGATCAAAGTCCCTTTATCAGGCTCTACTCTGCAAGCTTTCAGGATCAAAGTCCCTTTATCAGGCTCTACTCTGCAAGCTTTCAGGATCAAAGTCCCTTCAGCAGGCTCTTTTTTGCAAGCTTTCAGAATCAAATTCTCTTCATCAGGCTTGGCTTAGCTATAGGCAGAGCTGCACTCATATCTCCTGATCAGACATCATCAGTGCCCCAGGTCGGGCACACTGAGGATCCCAGCAAGAACTGGGATGAGGCTGCTGGACACTGGTCAGGAGGAAGGATGGTGAAGGACGGTTCTGTTGTAGCCTCGCTGGGCCAAGAAATATGCAAGAGTCAAAGTTATTTTGGGGAGGGAGATCTTTTATTGGAGCAGCTGCACAGTTGGGAGAGATGTTGAGATAAGTTTTCAAGCACCAAATGCCCCTCTTCAGTTCGGAGAAAACCAGATGCAGCTTGAGATAAATAGTGAATAGAACGATAGACTGGGAAAGCATCCTTAATGCACATAAAAACAGCCTTCCTGGAGGAACAGAGCGGGGCTGTGCAAAGAGCAGGGCTCTTATCAGGGTTCGCTGAATGAGAAATGCAGTAGGAAGGATAAATTGGTCATTGGAAGAGCAAGACCATCCAGGATGGAAGAGAAGGATGACATTTTCTCATAGAGGTCCCAGCATGCCTGCTGGGTCTCCTGAGATACGCATAGGCTTTCGTGAGCTGTGAAAGGACGTGCACGGAGCAGTGGATGGACTGGAGAGAGTGATTTGAATACAGTAGGTAGGAAGGGAGGAGGGGAGGAAAGCAATGCTGGGAGAGGCACCCATGCAAAGACCCCATAGGAGCAAAGGGGACACAAAAGCTAAGCCAGATAACAGCATAAGAGTCATTGTCCCTGTTTAAACCATCCTTAACACCCAACTGCGTCTTTCTTCCAAGTGTACCACGGGCATGTGGGAATAAAGCCACACGGTCCTCTTTGTGGGCTGCAGGGGGGAATGTAGGAAACCTGTTGAATTCTCATGATCTACCCAGCTTACAGGTTTCATCTGCCCAAATCCTGTGATTGAGCATTTAGGTTGGCACTTGAATTTGTTATATGGACATTCCCATGAGTGCCTGTCTGACTAAGTGCAGGGATTTTCTGCTTCTCAGGGCATCTGCCCATTCATAAATCAAGCTCACTATGACCCAGAATGAAGGACACAAGAACGTGATAGATGCAAGGCGCTTATGGCACCAGAATAATTTATTTAAGAGCATTAATGAATAAATTTTCAGTATCCCCCGTTTCTCACATCTGCAGTACGAATGAGAGTACCCAGGGTGGGTTGGAGAGAGCACGGTGGGATGCCAAGGTATTTGCAAAGCATAACATAATCCAGGTATTTGCAAAGCATAACATAATCCAGGGAGGTCTGGTTGGGATGGTTTTAGGCCAGCTCGGAGTGGTCTGGCTGCGAACGCCTGAGACGTATATTTTGCAGCAGGCAGCAGCGGAGAGAGATTTCTGACTGTAAAGAGTTTGGGATTCGGGGTTACCAGGTTCTGGCTTTATGAGAACGTATTTTCCCTTCTAGACCTTTTGCATTTCCCCCCTTGGATCCTGATGCTAACCTTCAGGATGTGTCCCTAGGTCTGCTTCCAGGTGTGGGCACAGGATGCCAGCTGATATCAGTGCGAGCGTGGCACACGGTAACAGCTTCAAACTGCACGCCCCAAAATCTGCAGAGAAGCTCCAGTGTGCTGTACGCGTGTAAGATCAGGGCACACCAAAGTCAGTGATGAAAATTCCCATTGCTGGAAGGGGATGCAGGATCAGGGAGAGGGAATAAATGCAACCAGGAGCCTAGCTATGCTTTATTTACCCTGCAGGTCTTCTCCAGTGCTTCCGCATGGTAAAAAGGGCTCTTAAAGTCCAGACTAAATCCCTTGGGTCCCTTTCCACACCAAAGGGAGCTGAGTGTTAATGAGAGCCAGACCCCCCCTCTTCAGGTTGCTGTAGCGCTACACACGAGCTCTGATCACTGGCAGAAAATGCTGCTGCCCTCAAACTTGCATTTTTGGTGTCTATCACGCGGCCGTTTTTGAAAAAAGAAGTAAGAAAAAGAAAATTCACAGGCAAAACAAAGAGCATTGCAGCCCGATGCAGCATCCCCATTGCGTTGCTCGCAGCTGATCTATTCCTGGGGTGATCTTTCCTTCCTCTGCTAGCTTGTCCTTGACTCATTAAAGGATGGGATACCCACATACACGTGTGACATTACCTAGTACACCTCACACCGCTGCTACTTTGCCCTCGTGGGGTCTGTTACAGACCAATTTAACCTGATGCCGTTGGCGGGGTCGCAATCTTAATGACGTTCGAAGGTCCTACCGGGGCGCTAATCGTAACGCTGCGGTTCCCAATGAACGATTCCAAGACAATGAGAAACACCGATGCAGATTTACATCTGAGAAAGATTTGGCCCAGGACTTTCAAGGCTGACTTGGACCAGAAACAGAGAGGCAGAGCTGAAGCAGACGGCTGGCTCAGAAGAAATTTGGAAGCGGTTGAGATGTCATAGCAAACATCCTACGGCATTTGCACTATTACAGAGCGCTTTAAACTCATTCAACTCCTAAATTTCCCAAGCACTTAGCAAAGTAGGTCACCAAACAGCATGCAATCGCAGTACTTACCGAGTGCGGCAGTTAGCTCTGGAAGCAACTTCTCTTGCCTCCGATTTCCTCTCTCTCTTATTTTTGCAACTTTTCAGCAACAGGAGAGAGCCGCACACGCGCAGCCCCCTGCCAAACCTTTTGTGGGAGGTGGATGTTGGATGGGTCACGTTGGTTTCCTAAAGGTTTCCAGGGCTCCCCAGCCCGCTGTGCGCGGTGGAAATCTCTACCATGTGACAGACCAGATTCCAAGGAAGCTTTGGTGGGGGGTGAGGAGGGTGGGCTGGAGCCGTCCTCGCCCATAAATAATCATTATTGGGAACATGCAGCAGATGTTCCCTGTTCGGCACTGACTCCTTTGTATCGGTTTCCAACTCGTTCCCTTTGAATAGCTTTTATTTTGTCTGATGTGCCGTTAAAACAAAGCACCTCCTTGCCAGCTGCAAACATAGCCTGCGCATTATTTATAGGGAGGAAGCAGAGATTGCGTTAGTCTGCGGTGGACAGGGAAGCCAAACAATACAAATAGTATGGCCTGAAACACTATCACAGGGCTGCTACAGTCCTGATTTCTCTCTCTCTTTTTTTTTTTTTAAAGAGAATCCGGCAAGCATTTTGTATATGTCTTTTTTTAATTTAATCCCCTGTGGTTGTGGCAGCGAAAGGAACGGGGAACTGACTGCGCACCCTGGGCTGCTTTCTTGTTATATTGATGTTAATTAACTTGTCTCTGCTCTAACCCAATTGATGCAAGTCGGCAGAAAAGGACAAAGTGAGGATTGGGACCAGAAGGAAAAGGGCAGCGTTGATAGGGAAGGAAGGTTTCCATTCATCCTTCTGGATCGATGATGCCAAACTTGAAACTAAAATTAAATACATGAGTGGGGGAAAAATGTGTGTGTGTGTGTGTTTGTATATATGTGTGTTTATGTGCGTATGTGTGTGTATGCGTATACATGTGTGTGTTTGTATGTATGTGTGTATGTGTGTATGTTTATGTGTTTGTATATGTATGTGTATGTGTGCTTGTATATGTGTGTGTGTTTGTATATATGTTCATGTGTGTGTGTTTGTATATGTGTGTGTTTGTGTATGTGTGTTTGTATATATGTATGTGTGTGTGTGTGTATATGTGTGTGTGTTTGTGTATGTGTGTTTGTATATATGTATGTGTTTGTGTGTGTGTGTGTGTTTGTGTATGTGTGTTTGTATATATGTGTGTTTGTGTGTATGTGTACATGTGTTTGTATATGTGTGTATGTGTTTGTATATGTGATTGTATATATGTGTTTGTTTGTGTATGTGTGTGTGTATATGTGTATGTGTGTGTATGTATGTGTATGTGTGCATGTGTGTGTATATGTATATATATATAATGTGTGTATGTGTGCGGATGTGTATGTATATATACATACATCTATATGTGTGTGTGTGTGTGTGTGTGTGTGTGTGTATATATATATATATATATATATATATATATATATATATATGTGGGTGGGCGTGTGAAAGAAGGAAAGATCTGGCCGTTGTTTTTTCAGGGCAAACCCGTCTATTCCAGGCAGAATACCCACGGAAGGATGGCTAGAGCCAGTCCAAACACTTCGAAACTTTGAGCAAATTTTGTCTAAATTTCAGATTTTGACCCCTCCATAAAAGGTTGAAGCGCTTCTAAAAATGCCCTCCAGGGTGGCTGTTTTGTTGTTGCTGTTGGGTTGGCTGGGATTGATTTTAGAGGTGGGGAGAGGGGGCATTTAACACCTAGAGAGCTAGCTGAAAAAAAAAATCTGAGTGTGAAACATCTATAAAAATAGTTCAGACTGTGAGGGGAGGAGGAAGGAGAGAGAATCTGTCAAGATTGTGCCCTGTTTGTCAGCCCTCTTTCTCCCTTTCTTTTAGCCCCTTTTCCCTGCTGTCTTGTGCGAGATTTATATCTGTCAGTAATAGGAGACTCCCTCTTAAATTTCCCCTAGACTTAAATGAAACAGCAGCCCCTTTTGCATTTTCGCTGCTGTCAAACTTCAATATAAATAATGTTTTATAACCCTACCGTGGCTAATTAGAGCCTTTAATGTATCTGTTGCATACATTTGCTGGCACTCTGTCTTGTAGATGCATTTCCCACCTTTGTGGGCTTGTCTTAATTGACGTTTATTTTGGAGCATGTCAATAGATTTAAGCCTTGTTGATTTAAAAAAAAAAAAAAAAATGCGCGCTCTGGAGCTGCACAGTTTTAGGCAGCCTCCCGACCGTCGTCTCCAAAGCGCTGCGGAGGGATGACAGATGCCTGGAGACCCAAGTGCTAATTTGGGTGACATACCAGAGACACTCCAAGAGCTAATCTCAAACCAGCTCTTACTGATTGAAAACGAGAGACACTGTTGTTCATAGAAAAGCTGTTCGGTGCCCAGTGTCAGCAGAGTTTATAAGCTCTGGCGGTTCTCTTGTGGATGGATATCCACAAAATCGAACTCGCCGTCACAATAGGAGCCTTCGTTAGCAAGCTGAGGAATGAGGCCCGCTGTTTGATCAAGCGTGGAAATCAACCCCGCTCCCCATCCTTATTAGTTAACCAGGTACGGGCATCAAGGAAGCTTGTCCCGCCGCTGCCCGGGTGGCACCTGGACCCTTAAAAAATGTAATAACCTGTAAGATACTTGGGTTATTATAACACACCATCCTGTTTTGAAGCAGGAGCCCAGGGTCAAGTTGCTGGCGTGTTATCTTTTCAACTACTCGTGTGTTGCAGGAGTGCCCCGGCACCCTGTCTGAGATGGGAACGCCATTGTGCTAGGTGCTGTACGCATATACCCAGCAAGGGATGATCTGATCCTGCCCTGAAATCTAAAGCCGCATTCAGCCCAGGACAGCAGTTTGTGCCTGATTTCCCCCCATTGATTTCAAAGAGACTGTATACATTCTTCATGTTCATCACATTTTAAAATGCCTGGTGAAGTCGGGGCCCAAATAGACAAGCTGGAATTGAAGGGAGGAGATGCATCTCTCTCCTTCCCTGCCTCCCTCCCCACCTTTTCTTCCTCCCACTCTTTGCCTCCTTCTCTTGCTCTTCAGATGCAATGACCTCCTTTTACAGCCGAGCCACTGAGGCACGGAGCGGTTAAGTGACTTGCCCAAAAGTCGCATTAAGTGACTTGCCCAGTCTGTGGCAGTGTCAGGAACTGGAAATGCAGCACCCCAGCCCTAGACTTGTAACTTCAGCTCAAAACAGGCCATCCTGCCTGGTTAAAAACCCACCACATCTATAGCAATACCTTTTTACCATCCACACATACTCTTCCCCCGTGACACCTACAGAGAAAAGGGGATTTTTAGTATCTTGGCAGATGAGACATGGAGCATTGCCGTGTGTGTCTTGCAGCAGAGACACTACCGATAGCCTTGTGCTACTATCGTTGAATTTCTGAGAAGTTTTGTATTGGAGCTGGCATCACCCAGCAAAACTGAGTCGCACGAAGATCCAAATCACAGAACCGATCCCCTTTCCCAAACGTCAGTCGAGACACCCTAATTGGGAAGGAGCGCAGAGGGGAAGGGTCAGGCTGCGGGTGAAAGGTGCCCGTTAAATGCTTTTTATTGACTGCTAGGGGAAGCCGGGTGACAAAGGAGATTTGCTGAGGTCTTATTCCAATCCACTAACCCACTTTTCAATTTTATTCTCCACTTATATAATGAGGAGATACCAGAGAAGGGCAAATATAGCGCGGTTGGTTCGCTCTCTGGAGGACTCAGTCAAGCAAATTACTCTTCTCCCCTTAGGAATGCTATATTTCAACTCAGACCTGGAAGCAACTTCCACTCCAGGGACTCGGAGGGAGAGAGTAAATAAGATTGAAAGCACATGCCGCCCTTAGGGTCTTTTGGCAGACTGCAGGTTTTATAATGCTGACTGTTGCCTGAGAGCCGTTAAGTTATTCCTCTACAATAAACGAAGCTTTAGAGGGTTTTTTTTCCTTCCCATTTTGCAGTTACTCTATGTTTATGATGGGCATAAACACGCCTTTCCTGCAAGCCCTCTTCGGAGACTTGCCCATTGGCTTTCTCAACCTCGGCGTTTCTACCCCTGGATGCCCCCTTTCCGAGCCCTCGGCTCGTTTGCAATCTCAATCCTGACAGTTAATTAAAAGCAAGGCCGCCCTGAGAGGGCTGAGCTTCCCAATGAGGTGAGCTCCGCAGCTCTCACGGGGGATCTGCCAGAAAATGTGTGAAGGGGACTGGTTCAGAGACCTTGAAAACGGTGTGTGGCAAATGGGCAAAACCAACCAGATTCTCCTGGCAGGGTTTTGCTCGCCGGGGGGCACGTCAAATCTTGTACATATAGAGGGGAAGTTTGCACTGATCAAGACAATGTGATGGGATATTATATCTGTTCCTTAGAGCAGACGTTTCTTCTGCATCATCGAAAAATATTCTTTCCGTGCATTTTATCTGCTAGTTAGCCCGTTACTTGAAAGCTGTTGCATCCACTAATTTATTTGCAGGGTGTCAATGGCTCCTACACTTCTCTCTCCACTCCTCCCCCCCCTTTTTTTTTAGTGCACTTGTATACAAAATCTTTTTGCACAAGCACAGGAAGGTGTTAGCACAGCCTCACGATCGTACGGTTTCCTCTATTCATCGCTGGCGTCGGGGAGGAGGCGGGGGGCAGAGGAACATGTCTGTGTAGTCGGGCTGTGGAAGATGGGGGAAGCGTTTCTGGTCATCAAGAGCTCAGGTCAAGGTCTTAGCATTTGCCATCCTAGGAAGTGCTGGACTTGACAGGGAGGGGACAGCTGACAGGAGTCCTGGTCTCGGAAAGGTTCGTCCTCCCCCTCCAAGTCCGACGAGGCCCTAATAGGTTTCACTGGAGCATAGGTTGGGCCAGCCAGTTGAAAGCCATTAGAAAAAGGTTGTCAAATGGGCAGAGCACTAATTTGAGTCATGCGAGAGCTGGGCCAAAGTCCTTACTCTGCCACTGACTCCCTGAGAAGCCTTGGGCAAGTCACCTATCCCCAGAGCTGGAAGGTATTTAGGTGGTTAACTCCAGTTGAAAAAAACAAGCAACATCAGACAAACCATCCATGGTAAGTGTCCTGCTAGATGGGGCATCTCAAATGTCGGTGAAGGAGTTGGATCAATGCTTTTAAATGCATCAAAATAGGCAGCCCCTTGGGGAGGCTCGTTCTTCCCTCTGGTTGCTTCCTGCAGCTAATACCCATGGTGTTTCAGCATAATCAGTGCAGTCCCATGGGCTCCTGCCAGCTTTTCTTATACCTGGCTGTAAGCAACCCCAGAACACTTCCTCATGTTCAAGCAGGGGTGTCCGCCACGAAGAAGGAGGGGAAAGCATGTTGCAAACGAAGTGGATTTAATAGCGGTCGTCAGCTGGGGAGAAGTGGTGCAGTCCTGTGGGTGCAGCACTGGACTGGCAGTCAGAAACCAGGCTCTGGTCCCAGCTCTCCCTCTGGTCTGCTGTGTGACCTAGGACACGTTGATTCCCCCTCCCAGCCTTTCTGTCTCATCTGTGTTCACTCCTCAGGATGGGGCGTATTTCTCACTAGGTGTTTGTACAGCACCGAGCGCGGCAAGGTCCCGATCTCAGTTTTGAACTTGACTAACGGAGACAGAAGTAGCATTCACCCGTACCGTTAATGGAGCGTGTTTGCATTGGTGACCGGAGTGTAATTCGTGTCTCTTTCTCTCGCTGACAGTGCATGAAAACCTGTGGGGAGGCGTCCCGGTACCGTAAAGTCGTGTGCGTGAATCAGAACAAGCGCGTGGAGAACAGCCTGTACTGTGATGCCAGCAGGCGACCCTTGGAAATGGAGAGCTGCAGCTTGCCGCCCTGCGAGTATGTCTGGATCACGGGGGAGTGGTCGGAGGTGAGTCCCAACTCGTGTCTCACCTTGTCGGAGGCGAGTCCCACACTGTCAGACTGGACGGTCCCCCGCACCATCCCTGGGGTGGTCTGGATCTCAGCGAATAGCCAGGCCAAGCCCTCAACTGGGGTAAATCACCATGAGGCTGTGAACATTAGTGGATCTGTGCTGATTGATGCCCAGCTGGGCACGTCTACAAGAGACGTTTACTGCGCATTAACCTAATACCGTTGCACAGTAGCGTGTCATGAGAAAAACTGTGCTCATAGCCTGCTGCACGGTGTTTTTAGGCTAATCACTAAATAACTGTGCGCTGATGCTACTGCACAGTAACTTTAGGTATTGCATATTTAGTTAGTATTTTATTAAGGAAGTACTAAACTAAATGTGCAGTAACTAAGGCACGTTAATGAGCGTGTAGATGGGCCCGCTGAAATTGGACCAAAAGAACTGGTGAAAGTAGTTGTGTCCTCTTTGCTTTTATCCCCTGGAGCGACCTGGGCTGAGGGCCCAGCGATGTATGAATGCGGGCAGAGACGTGCCCGATGCTCAGATCATGATGTGGAACATGGTATTCATGGGCGGTTTCTCTGCTGGAGAAGGAGGAACAAGGAAACAAAAGAGAGAGGATATTAAAAAGCAGGTGTGAGCAGCCAGCAGAGACTGCTTGATAACTAGAAGCACTTTCTAGGTTCCCATTCAGGCTCCATCTAAAGGACCCATGTATTACATCCGTCTTGATCCTCTTTGCTATACTTACCCCGCAGTCAAATCGAGGCCATCTCACCCTGCTAAAAGAAGATCCTTTAAGGCTCCCCTGAGTTTGGTGGTGCTACGCATCTATTCACAGTAGTCCAAGGCAGCTTTGGCAAAGTGAGCTACTGCTCCCAGCAAATCGGTCCCAGAATGCATTGCAATAACATGCAACTGGTGCAGACCAGTTCTTTATCGGTCTCTTAGGACACTAGCAGTGGGTGCTTCTCCCCGAACCACCTGTTGCACCTTTACCTTCCCCTTCGTGAAATCTGGCTGGGTACATGACATTAAGGCCCGTGCTGCACCTTGCATGTGTTACACAATTAACCGGTTAATCACACAGTGAATGTAGACTGCTCACTCATGCAAAGTAATTATCACACAACGAATTGGTTAATCGTGCAATACATTTAGACCAGCCACATGTGCAAAGTGCTTAAAAAGTGACTCATCCAGCTATAAAAAGAGCCAGCCGGCTATGAAAAGGTCTAAGCACTCTATAACTGGTTTCTATCCAGCTGTAATCTGAATGTGTGAAAGGGCCCTAACAGAGCTTTTTCGTTCCTTTAGTGCTCTGTCACCTGTGGCAAGGGGTACAAGCAACGGCTGGTTTCCTGCAGTGAAATTTATACTGGGAAGGACCATTATGAGTACGGCTACCAGAACACAGTCAACTGCCCCGGCACGCAGCCCCCAAATATCCACCCCTGTTACCTCGGGGAGTGCCCGGTCCTGGCGACGTGGCGCGTTGGCAACTGGGGAAGTGTGAGTACGATGCAAAGCCTTTGTGCCGGGAGGGAGGGGTGGTTACTAAAGGCTGGTCGGCAGCTTCAAAAGACCTGGTGCTCTTTGCACAGATAGGGAATGAAACGGAGGTGACCATATGACTGGGGTGTAGGAAGGGCTATGGTTGGCCATGCACTGAAGACGTTTCCCCCTAACGCCTATTTAGGGGGAAACTCTGATATGCATGGCCAACCATATGGTTGTGTCTTGTGACTAATTGATATGCCAAAGTTTAGGCCATTGCAACCTCAAAATATAGAAGATTCTGCTTTCATGTCTTCCCTTTCCTGTAAGTCCTGCAGTAGAGCAAAGACAAAGACATTAGCCTTTGGCTGTAAAATTATTGTGGTGTCTCCCTCTCTTCTGGAGCTCAAATCACAAGGTTTTGAGTGAAAGCACCACCCTTCACTTAGTCCAAAACTCCAGTGTTGCTTGGATTGCAGCATTTCTCCCACAAGTTTGATTTATTGACACTTCTCAGGCACTGAGAGCGATTTATCAAGTCTGTGCGAGATTACCAGGGTCGAGTCAAGCGGAAGGTGGTGAAAATTGTCTGAGTTAATAGTAAAGCTGAACTGCTTCGAGCCAGAATGCCTATTTAGGGGGAAACTCTGATGTTTGAAGAGAGATGTTGTTCCAGGTCAGAACAAAAACTACAATTTTCTACCTTTTGTGCCAAAAGGAAAACCTGGGGAAAAAAAATCATGTTAGAAAATCAAGATGGTTTTGTTCAGCACAGAGTGGAGCAGCCAGCTCTTCTCCATTCCTGGGGACTCCCCACGCCGTACCCAACCCAAAGGGATCCCATAAGGGCAGCTGGAGAGTCCAAACTGAGCATGGTTTTGCT